AAGCAGGCCGCTATATCTCCAGGCCGGGCGAAGAGCCCAGCMTCATTGTCGGTGTGCAMGTTTGGCGACACACTGGTTGGAGCGCTGGCTGGAGCAGCGCTAGCTTGGAGCAGCGCTGCTGGGGAAGAAGCAAGGACTCGGAGGAGGAAGAAGGACAGGAAGGGAGAGGAGCGCCAGAGGTACTTACCTGGCTATGGTGGCAGCCATCTTCATCACCTTGGTGGGCGCTGCAGCAGGAAGGCCCCAGCTGGGGTTGAGCTACACCAAAAAGCTTCGAGGCAGAGTCAGGCATGGCAGCCTGAGCTAGGGCAGCCATAGCTACTTTGGGTTGTCCTTTGGACATCTGGGCAAGGCCTAGTAGTCCGCCATAGCCTCGGCCTATGAGAATGAAGAGTGGGAGAGGCGGCCATGGCTATGGTGGACCTCAAGTGATCCCTGCAGTAGAAGAGGAGTTCGGACTTTGATTCTGGTTCAGCTATCCAACATTGTATTATTATTTCTTGTGTGAATAAGAGAGGAGGAGATAAGGAGGAAGAGAGGGTTGAGCTAAGAAGAAGAGCTTTATCATTTGTCTATGCTGGTGTACATCATCTTCTTCTTCTCTCTTACTTCTTCTTCTTCTTCTAATCTTTCTCTGTCCTCTCAAGTTCATTCATTTCTTTCTGCAATCGGACAGCATTGTACTACTCGATGAATGTGCATCTCGAAATTGGCCAGGATCATAACATTGGTACTTGATGAATGTGTATCTCGAAATTGGCCAGGATCATAACATTGGTGACTTTCCTTCTGCTGACATCACAGGTTTGTCTGAACGAAGGCAGTCAATTTTCAGTGGGAATTTTTGGGGAAAAACAGAACCGCCGTCAAGGTCGATTTTTTTTTCGGTTGGAACCTTGGATACCCAGATAATAGGACAATCTGAAAGGTCTTCCACGATTCAGACCCCAAATTCGGGTCTCAGGGTCAGAGGCCCTGGTCAAGAGAGGCCGAGTTCGTCAAGTTCAGAAAAGTCACAGTCGGGTACCGCCGCAGTCTAATCCAACAGGCACCCAGCAAACAGTCACATCTTAGGGGCAAGAGTCATGTCTCATAATGAAAAGTCATAATGAAGAGTCACATCCCACGAATAAAAGGGCAGTACCACAGGCAAGAGTCGTGACCCAGAGGCAGGAGTCACTGTCCACAGTCAAAAGTCATGTTCACAAGTGAAAAGTCACGACTCAAAGGCCCAAGCAGCAGCAGTCCAATGGAAATTCGGGAAGGTTCCAGTTCCTGACATTCAGAAGCAGACAGGCCGTGGGGATGTGGTACCGGAACCAGTCAGGGCCCAAGAAACAGAGGCTGGCGCGAGTTGAAGTGCAAACCAAGACTACAAAAGGACTGGCCAGCCTCCCATTCGGGCAGATTGCTCATTCGCAAGAAGTGTGGAAGTGCTGGTGCACTTGTGCGCTGTAGCGAAGGGCAGAGCGCTGAAGCCAGAGTTTTGCGCTAAGGGAGAAAGAGAGAGAGGAAGTGTTAGCGCTGGCAGGGAGAAAGCAGCCATAGCTGCGCCAGTGCAGAGTGTTAGTGGTAGACTTCAGATAGTTAGTAGGCTCATCAGTGGGTGTATTCAGAGTAGATCTTTGAGTAGTAGATGTGTGAGTGCATGTAAGTAGTGAGAGAAGACACAGTGAGGTGGTAGACAGAGAGAAGATCAAGATAGAGAGAAGAGTTCTGGAGAGAGACATACCTGAGTGAAGATACGGGATACTTGGGTTGCACTGTTGAGTGCTGTTGATTGAAACTCTTCTTTGCTCATATTATAATTTGTTGAGATTATAAGCTGTGCTATATGGTCTTCATCTTTCTGCTCTCCAGTGTGGAAAATCGTGTGATTTCATACATGCACATGGTGTGATCGTGTACGCTCACTGGTGTTGAACTAAGAGGTTCATTGCAAATCAGATAGGATATGGTTACCTTGGACAGGATGGTGACTTTTTTTTTTACCACAGTAAATAAAGTTTAATAAACATATGTGACATATATGGCTGACTGGGTGACTGAATGTGTGGGGAAACTCAGATCAGATATGGTTAGACTTTACAGGATAATCCGATAATGGCATTTTTTTTTGTGTGCCTTGGGTTTAGGGTTGTTTTCCTCCTTTCTTTCCTTTTTGCAACTTGGGCCTTCTATAGTACGGGAGGAGGGCGGGGTCACGGCAGCTGGATGGCTGTGGTCGGGGATGGGGTTGGCTGGAAGTGGCTTTCGCAGCCCCGTGTGGCTGCGGCATTCATATTGAGGGACGCCGGGTTCCCGGCCTTAATTGAAAGTTGGTTAAAAATTTAAAAAAAAAGAAAAAGAAAAAAGGGGGAAAGTACCAAGTTATCCCTACAAAGTTGAAAGCCTCTCTCACTCACACAAGTGGTTAACCGGGACCACCACTTTCAGCTCCTGAGTAAAGGGTCAAAAAGGACCAAAACTGAAATTACTAATTAGGGTTTGGGGGTCAAATTTTATGTGTTTTTTTTTTTTT